TTGAGCTCGAAATATAAACGAGTCGAACACGAGCTGAGCATGGCTCGCTCGTGTTCGGCTCGTTTACACCCCTAACCACAAGTGATCGACCCTAACCTAGAGGTATTCATTAGTCATTTACAAAAAAAAAATGAAGTTTTTTCACGACCCAAGCTTAGGCTTGGAATTAATCAGGATGGGAACAAACACTTAGATGATGTGAACTAAGTTTTATATATTTAATTACTATTTAACAAATGGAAGAGCGCTAAATAAATTAAATTAAAATATTATATTTAAATTTACCTCATTACTAGTTGTTCGTGTTTTCTATAAACATTATTCATTCTTTTGCTCATCTTTTAATCAATTAATGAATCTGAAAAGTTAGTTTAAAATAATAATATGCTAAACAATCTTGTGAATACTTATACTCTTAAACTAGAATAATACAAGAAAAAAAAATAATATACATGTCAGTTAAGCTTTTAATAAGTTAATATAAATATTTGATATGTTATAAAATGAACATACTAATATTATTGTATATTTGTACAACCTTCAGAAGAACAATGTCTAAAAATATGTCAATTAAGACAATCAATATAGATATCATTTTTTATCTATGTGCACGAGTATCTTAGTGTTCCCCCACTAGTACTTTCAAAGGGTGACTTCATCATAGTCAATCATGTACATACAAACATCAAATAAAAATGTCACTTTCAAATTATAAATATTTCATTCTCATGCATATCAGTCAATATTCTTATGCAACATAGGTCATTCGTATAATAAGAACAAAATTCAATAGATTAATAAATCATGGGTATGCAGTACAATAATAGTAAATGTATTTGGTCTAGCATAAGCAAAATATCACTATAGCAAAAAGACATGAGTACTCATCTTGTTGCCAACTAATTTGTTATTTGATTTGTCTTGATGTCGACTTTGATGAAATTGAAAGCCTAACATAGTATTCATATTACAAAATTTTAGTTACCTATTAAATTTACATTATCTATCTATTAAATTTTCATTACCTATAATCGATTATTAATTTTAGATTTTAAGATTAAGAGTTATAAAATAAAGAATACTAGAATTCATCATCGTAGAATTAGATAGAGGAACCTAAAAGACTCAAATAAAAATATTTTTTTATTAAAATTCAAGATTTCAAAATTCGGGATGTTCATGAAGAAGTAAATGCTATGTGGGATAAAGTAACAAATATTATTAAACAAGTAGCAAAAGATGTACTTAGAAAGTTAAAAAAAAATTATAAATAAAAATAATTAGTGGTGGAATTATAATGTGCAAGAAAAGATAAAATGTAAGAGGTTATGTTATAAAAATTGGTTTAATTGTAAAAGCTTAGAGAACTGAAAAAATATCAAACGATCCGCAGGGAGTCAAAAAGAACAATTTGTGACGTTAAAAAATCTGCTTTTAGTGATCTTTATAATATATTAGATACTAAAGAGGGTAAAAAATATATCTATAAACTAGCCAAACTAAGAGGAAAGAAAAGTAAAGATTTAACTCAAGTAAAGTGTATTGAAGATGAAAATAAAAAAAATTGTCTTAGAAAAAGACATTCAACATAGGCGTGAGTTATTTTGATAAACTTCTTCATGAACCTTCTGAAAATACGATCGACCTTAGTGATCTTAGTATCGTTAATAATAATAAAATGTTTCATTTTTATCATAGCATTAGTAAAGAAGAAGTTGAGGAGGCTTTAAAGAAAACCATGGGTGGAAAGTCTGTAGGATCTGATGATATCTCGATTGAAGTGTGGAAATATTTAGGAAATATGAGAGTTTCTTGACTTACTAAACTCTTTCATATCATTTTAAAACCTAAAAAGATGTCTAAGGAGTGGAGGAAAAGTATTTTGGTCCATATTTTTAATAATAAAGGGGATGTAAAAGAGTGTGCAAATTATAGAGGATTTAAGTTGATGTGACATACTTTAAAATTATGGGAGAGGGTAATTGAACATAGGTTAAGACTTATTACAAAGATTTCTCATCTACTTTAGAAGCTATACATCTATTTAGAGGTTTGATGAAGACGTTCAGAGATTATAAGGAGGTTCTACATTTGATTTTTATTTATTTAGAATTAGAAAAAGCTTACGATAATTCCAAGAGATATACTTTGGAGAGTTCTTGAGAAAAAATGTGTTGATATGACTTATATTCAAGCATTAAGGATATGTATACTAGTGTTGTTACTTGTGTTCGAACAGAAGGAGGGTTGACCAAATATTTTCCTATTTCTGTTGGATTACATCAGGGACCGGCTTTAAGCCCATATCTTTTTGCTCTAGTTATGGATGGTGTTACTGGACATTTACAGGAGGATGTACCTTGGTGTATGCTTTTTGTTGATGATATCTTTCTCGTGGATAAGACGAGAGAAAGAACACGGGAAAAACTTGAATTATGGAGGTCTACATTTGGAGTCTGAAGGCCTTCATTTTATTATAACTAAAACTAAATACATGGAGTGCAATTTTAATAGTAGTAGCTCTAGTGACAGAAGTGGTGATCAAATTATTAAAAGGTGTGAACTATTTGGATATCTCGGGTCTGTTGTTCAAAGCGATGGTGATATAAATAGGGATGTTAATAGTAGAATTCAATTGGGTTTGTTGAAGTGGAGGAATGCTTCGGGCCTTTCATGTGATAGAAAAGTTTCGCTTAGATTGAAAGGAAAATTTAATAAGATGGTGGTGAGACCTGCAATGCTCTATGGCGCTGAATGTTGGCCTTTAAAAGAGAAGCATAATACTAAGTTAACTGTTGCCGTCATGAGAATGATTAGGTGGATGAGTGGCTTTACACTTAGAGACAAAATGAGAAATAAATATATCCATGATAGAGTTGGTGTAGCTCCAGTGACGGACAAAATTAGAGTCATATTAGATGGTTTGGTCACATTAAACGTCCAACCATCTGATGATCTGATTCGAAGAGTAGATGTTTTAGATTCGACTTATGTTAAGAAAGGCAGAGGTAGACCTAGGAAGGCATGGGCTTATTGTATAAAAAATGATCTTAATTTATTAGAACTAAATGAAAATATGACACTAAATAGGATGCAATGGAGAAAAAGGATTCATGTAGCCAACCCCACAGTGGGATTAAGGCTTTGTTGTTGTTGATGTTTATAATTTATTTATTATTATTATTATTTATTCACATTTCAATTCATTATATGTAACGTTATCTTAAAAATTTAGTAAATCAAATCCTAAGATTTCTTGCTCCTGCCACTCTTCCCTCGATCCAAAATTAAAACTTCTTTAACTTGAATCCTAATTTAATTAAACCTTATTATTAATAAATAATAATAATATATTAAGTTCATAAATTCTATCATTTTAAACCCTTACCTTTGGTTTCCCCTAAGCTCGAGGAAAATTTGCGTACGTAAGACGTACGCAACGCTGCGTACGTCAGGGAGGTTATTCAGAGGGTATTGGGTGGTTATATCGGCGTTATACCCCTTGTAACTTACCTGTAACCTTCAAATATATGAAAACAGAAGCGCAAAACTTATTAGAAGGTACAGGTAAGTTACAGAGAGGTTACAAGGGGTATAACGCAGATATAACCCCCAATACTCTCTGAATAACCTCCCTGACGTAAGATGTGTTGAGTACCTCTTACGCAAATTTTTCTCCCTAAGCTCGGCCCGACCCGCACGAAATTTATTCTTCCCTTCTCCTTCAACTTGAACACCTCCTATGCATGCTAGATCCGGATCAAGAGCTCGGCTTTGGCTCCCTCGTGCACGAAAGCATAAACTCTACCTTTCTTTCTCCTCTAGGGCACAGTCGAACACGATAGAGAAAACCCATGATGCTCCTCTGAAGCTTCTCTTTTTCGGCTCGATTGCTTAGGTTCGAGCGTCTATAGTCACCTCCTCCGCTCGACACTAAAGCTGTCGGTGTTGCTCTTCTCGTCCTTTGCACGCTAACCTTGTATCTTCTACACACATAAAAGCTCTTCCCTTTTGTCTTCCTTCACCACAGATAAGTCACTCAGCCAACCAGATAAGTTGTTCAACAATTTATAGGGTGAAAATTCTCCTTCTTGGCTTCTCGACACTCGTCACTCCATCTCCTTTTTGTTTGCTTTTTGACTCCTAGCTTCAACCCGCCATGTTCGACTCTTCACTTCCTCTTCCAACTCCTCGTTTCTTTTTCCACGAGTAATTGAAGCGGGACCTTACAAGCATTACCATAGGTTTAATGTTTATGGAAGTTTTCTGCTGTAGAAATCCAACCCCTAAACTTTACTTTTTTACATCCAAAAAAAAAATGAAGCTTAACCATAGGTTATTTTTTTATGAAACCCAGGCGGCATGAGTATTCTCTTAGGCATCTACAATGGTCATTGCATTATATGCTATCACTCGAAATTGTCACTTGCTATGAAAATCTTGCTGATATTTATTTTGACATGTAGAGATCAGAATTTTACCCTACATGTTGGCATCATTAACTTCTTTTAAATGTCCCCCTCCTTTATTTGATTATGTGTTTATCTTCCTTATAGCAATGTTGTAATTTGATTGTTCCGTGTAATTCTAGCTTGACTTGTACATGGATGTTCTACAGGTATTGGTATGTACACACTTGACAGAAATATTTAGTGAGGCTTTTTTACCAAAGGTTTTATTGCTTTTTGTCACTGCAGCATTCATATCTTTGTTTCTTTTTGTGTTGTTTTTCTAATTGTTCTCCAATTAATAAACGCATGCAGTCTGGAAAAATAAAATTGTACACCATGAGCATTTTGCGACCTGATGAGAGCCTAGATACCGTTGATGACATAGTTTTTCTTTATCGGTATACTATCCAATTTTTCTTGCTTATATCTTTCTTTACCCCATCAGCAGAGCGCACCATTCACATCTTTTTAACATCGCCACCCCACCTAGTCCCTCATCCGCCTTGGAAAGCTCTGCCACAACAAAGCTTTATTCTAAATTGATTTTAATTTTTCATATCTGATTCCTGATTATATTTTTCTATGAAGGCTTGTTCCTGGGCAAGCACTTATGAGTTATGGTACGTGTGGATATCACCTGTAGCATAGTACCTACTTGTTAAACCGAAATAATAGACCTTTGACTAACCATAACTGTGTTATATCTAGGTATACACTGTGCCCGTCTCGCTGGTACGGTGTTTTTTTCTCAACTTCTCTTACAGTATCACCATGTGATATTAATTATCATTTTAATTTTGCTAATCTAACAAATAGGCTAACGTATTGTTTGGGATCATTTTTGTATGGATAATTTACATACATATCACATAATTCTTATATTCTATTTAAATATTTAACAATTAAAGTTTGATATTTGCATTTATGTTGTCATACTGATAAACTTAGCCATGCAATGACGTATTTTACTTTTATAAAGTTAATGGAGAATATTTTTGTGTAATGTTAAAGAATTAAGTGATATAATAAATATATATGTATATATGTGGCTAAATTTTTGAAATACTATTTTTGAAAAATTATTTTTTAAATTGGTTCCAAAATAACTTTTTTAAAAAAAATCAAAGTCGCCACGTCATTGACAACTCACTTACGAACAGGACGCCACATGGCTCAGTCATCGCTGATTTGGCAACTTTTGATGACTAGGATTTTTGCCCTAAGCCCTGAAAATCGATTCTAAGATTCAATTATTGCAATTCTTCCTAGTGGCTCACCTCCTCTCCTCTCTCTACACCCTCTCTTGATCTTCGGCCGACCCATCATCCGGCGTCGAAGAAGAGGCCCTTCACTAACACTATGAAGGTTGTCATCGATTCTTGTACATTTGTTTCTCCTGCAGGAAGAAGTGTTTGTTTAGCTCCACTCATTTCTCGTTACTTTTTTGCAAATCATAATGACAGAGAAAAAGCAGTGCAGACAATAGTAGCATCCAAAGAACAAAATACTCTTGCCACCATCATAATTAGCAGTATTCGATCCAATTAAACTGTTGCATATGATGTGAACTTTAATTTATGCTAGTTATAATCGTAACAACTATTCAAGTTACTTTTGACCTATTATTTTCTGTATTATGAATTTCACGCTGATAATATCATTAACTACCATATTGATAAAACATCTTGATGCAGAGCAAAATCATCATTTTTTTTTATTTTTCATATTGTAAAAACAGGTCATGAATGATTCATGTCATAAAGCTTTTTCTTATTTGAAGGATCTCTTTCATGAAGAATTTCTTATTTGAATAGAATTCCTTAAAATCAAACAAAGATTTAAAAAAAAATATGAAGATGTGAATGAATGTTAAGGTTGCTTAAGTCCCTCCCAGCCCCTCTCAAGTAACTTTCTCTCGTCTCCTACAACTATTCACTCTCTTGGTTAAGTGTTCTCTCTCTCATTATTCAATCTCTCCTAGAATGTCTTTCCTGTGTCCTTATCAAAACACCAAAATCTCATGCTTTCCATCTATTAAGGGAAAAAAACATTCCTAAACAAAGTGCATAAGGAACTTTTAGCTCTGATATCAAATTTAATGTGGCCTATGATACAGATAAAGAATAACATAGTTAAGGTTTCATCCGGGGAGTATTATATGTTTTTTGATGAACTATTTTTAAAATTTTTGTTAACAAATTTATTTTTTCTTTTGAGTAACTTTAGTGTACTCAAAGGGCTTTGCACTGTGAGAATGTACATTTTTTTGTACTTTTAATTGTCCTCATGTCATTTGTGACTTTCTTATTAATCTAGTGAATGTCATTGTCACAAAATTAAAGCGGAATCAATCATTGGGTTATATCAATAGATATCTTTCCTCATGTAGAAATATTCATTTTAATGAAGCTGCATAAAGGCTAAATTAAACAGAACAATTCACAACTAAACCCCTAATAAAATGAGAACATAACATTTTCTCAGCACCTAATTAAATTAGCATATGAAATGAGTAACAAGTGAATAAAACTGAATATGACATGCACGAGAAAATTTTAAATATCACTGTAACCAAACCAAATTAACAAGATAAGTTAATCTACAATAAAACCTTCATCGACATACGGTTTAATAAAGAAATAATGTATCTTATTTAGGTCGAGTCTGCATACAAATATCATAGGCAAAATCAGCTCTAAATTTGATCATATATGTCTGTCATTCCAAATGCTCCCTCCAGTCGACTTGGACAGCTTGTACGGATTGCTCCATGTACTTGCAAACGAAAATGTCGCAGTTAAAGTTGTTTTGTGTTGGAACACCTCTAGCAAATGTCATTGCCCATTTTCCCGGTTTGCCCCTGAATGCATGAGCAGCATCTCTTACAAAAAGTTTGACCTGCAAAGTTCATTGATGTGTTAGTTCAGAGTTATGTCACTGAAGTGGTGTGATTAAAGAAAAGAGTTATTGATATGTTATTCATGGGCTAGTGCAGTTTTTTCTTCTTTTTTCCATACTAAGAGGGCTTTATGAACAGCAACACCAAAACTCCAGCGTGAACAGCGACACCGACACTGTAATAGAAGCCCTACAAGGGTAAATTTAATTTTCCGGGACAATACTTTGGAGACCTACTTTTGTAAAAATCCTTTTAAATTTTTCGAAGACACTTAAACTTTGTTTTGAATTTTTTTTTAACAAATGAATTTGTTTTTAAGAATAAAAAATAAAAATGAGTTAACATTCATATTTTCTATTTTTTCACTATTTAAATATAAAATCAAAAAATGCTACCAAACAGGTTGATATCATATATTTAGAGTTGCTTGGCTTTGAAATTTTATGCATTGGGACATTTACATGCATACCACCCAATTCCCATGTAGATGCATATCTAATACCTAATTTTATTTTATATATTTTTACCACCCAAACTTTTCATGGCATAAAAAATACCACCTTTTTAACTTCTATGAAGTTAAAATACACCTTTTAACACATACATAAGGTGGCATTAAGTTAAAAATGAATTTTAGGCGTTAGACATGTGAATACATAGGAATTGGGTGTTATTTATGTAAATATTTCTTATGCAATTTGGCTTTAAATTTTTCAAAATATTGCAGCTGATTGCATTGTAAAATAAAATGTCTTTGGTTGCAATAGTCTATGCATTCTATTCAAATGGATTTTGCTATCCGTCAAATGAAAAATCAAAAGTTTAACTGACATATGAGTTGGTTAATTTGAATTTATATTACAAATCTAGAATATTCATTTTATTATTTTGCAATATAGGTGTTCCTCAGGAAGTTGTTGAAAGAGCAACTTCTATTCTTGACTCGATCCAGTATGATAAACCCATCAGCCGCTTTCTTGATCAGAAAATCTTGGCGAGAGATCAGCAGTACAAGGTATAATTGCTACAAAAAATATTATTCCATTATAACATTTTCTATAAGCCCGATATAATGAACACAACTCTGATGAAAATCATTAGTTTAATTAAGAAATGTGAGATCTTCTATTGTTGGTATTGTATCGCTATTAGGTCTTTCCCCAGAAACAAAGTTTGCTTGTTTTAAAAGCTGCAACTTTGTTTGGTTGTAAGTGGAGTGAAATGAAATTCAATAAAATTTTGGAGGGCAAATTTATACTGTTGAAACCAAATATGTCCGGTAAACCGCGCCCAAGAAATAGAGCGTTGGGCTGAAGAAAGGAAGTTGTGAGGGGGAGGGAGAGAGAGAGAGGGGGAGAAGAGGAAAACTTCCCCCGATGGGAGAAATTGGGGTGTTCCCGGGCTTGTGGAACCATTTTATTCCATAAAACCAGTTATTACAAGTGCGGGGAGCCTAAAAAGTCCATTTACATGAAAGGGTTTTCTTATTTATAGATGATGTAAGGACTAAAAAGTAAATTAGAATATTGCCCTTGTTTTTATATGATATTTTAATCTTTTCTGTTGCTGCGTATTACTCGATATCTCGTTGATGGTCAGATCTGTTATTTTGAAGTTTTTCTATCAGGGGGTCGTCTGGTTCCGGTGTTCGGTCGGGGGAAAAAGTCCTTTTTCGGGGGAAAAAGTCCTTCGTTGAGAGAGAATCCTCCTTCGGAGAACAAATAGGTCGAGGATAGCCAATTTGACGGTAGCAGACTGCACATTTGTCTTGAGATCCGTGCAAATTTTTTTTAGCATACATATTAAGTTTCTTAATTTTCTTGCTTCTTGATAGCGACAACTGCGATAAGGACAATGAAATTTATAAATCAAAACAAATCTTGAAAACATAATTGACTAATGATACTCTGTGCTATGTTCTTTTTGCGCTCAGTTTTGATATCAATACCAATGGTGGTTGATAGAGGAAAAGTCAACTGAGAGTAGCCAATTTGATGGGAGCAGACTACAAATGCGATCCAATAGTGGTTTCTTTAGCCAAACGAGTACGGTGACACTTGCAGTATATATGAAGCCCCCAAGTTTTTCTCTCATAGAAGGCGAAGATGCAAAAAAAATGGAGAAATCGCAAGTATAGGAAAGATCTTTCCTTAGCCCCTAGCTTTACTTAGTTTTTTAGCAACTCTTTTGTTGGCCTTTGATGAGTAGATTTTTTGAGAAAATTTTTAGTTAAGTTCTTAGATTTTTGGGATATGATATTTATTCAACTCAAGTTCCACCCATCGCGGAGCTTGTCATTATTGGGTGGCGAGTCATCTCTGGGTTGTAGATGATTGTCGTACACCCCTCGCGGAGTTTGTCGCTACCAATGGTGAATCATCTCTAGAGTCTAAGATGATCGTCGTACACCCCTTGCAGAGCTTATTGCTGTCGGATAGTGAATCATCTTTGGGTCATAGATGATCGCCATACACCCCTAGCAAGCTTGTCGATTTCGGGTGGCGAGACATCTCTGGGTCGTTGAAAATTATCGTACACCTCTCGCGGAGCTTGTCGTTATCGGGTGATGAATCATCTCATGGCTCTTATTACAGATCGGATGTGTATGACGTCGTTGTCGGTTGTTTTTTATGCCTCTGACTAATCAGAAGCTCTTGGCATTGTTGTCGGTTTTATTTCCTGGGTTTGAGTTCTCCAAGCGTCAAGTGGTCACCGGCATGCATAGACTCGTTGATCTCGCCAAGTTTTGACTATGATCTTTCTCATAGAAATAAAAACACTATTAAGTGCATGTATCATAAAGTAAGATTTGGAGGAGATAAAATGCTTATATGGGGTCGGAGACTGCTAATAGGCATGGTTAATAAACCAGGGATTTTAACTCATTATTCAGCATTCATAAATTAATTTGTACCTTAGGGCAGAAAGACAGATCCTTTATGTGCTGATTTTTCTTCAAAATTATTTAAAATAATATTTAGATATGTAAAGCAAAATAGTTTTAAATTTTTGCATGTAAAGAATAGTTGCAGTATTCATTTAGAACACTAGATATAGAAAAGTTTCATTTGGAATTCTTATGGCCATAAAATCTTCATTAATCAGTGGCATGTATTTATTCATTTATATATTTCACCGTTTATAAATATATGTATTTATATATTCAAAACAAGAGGTGAGTGGTATGCATGTAAATCTTCTTTTTATTTTATTTTATTTTATCTTTATCTTCAAGCAGCCGACCATTAATTGGTTCGCTGGAGTGGAGGTAGCCGGTCGACGAAGTGGTCCACCTACAAATAAAACTAAATTTTAGGTGTTGGATATAGAAATAAAAGGATTGAGTGATGTGTAAATCTTACTTGATTTTAGATTGTCGGGCGAAGGCATACAATCGGCTGAAGGTGGGTGGGTGGCTGGAGGCAGGTGTTCGGCCAGAAAAAAGGAGGCTTGCTGAAAGCTCCAAAGAATTGAGTATTATGTGCGTAAATATATACGTTTATGCAAGCTCCAAAGAATTGAGTATTATGTGCGTAAATATATACATTTATTAGAATTGAGTGATATGAATAAACATATATATATATAGAGAGAGAGAGAGATTGAGCGGTAGTTATGTAAATCCTCCCTATTTTGAGATGGGAGGTTGGAGGTTGATGGCCGGTCGGAAGTAGATGGTCGTTCGGAGGCTTGTGATTGTAGCTCGAATCCAGATATTGTTCTTTTCTGTTGTCCCAAAAAAAAAAAAAAAAAAAAAAGAAAAGAAAAGTGAAAGAGGTCTTTTCCTGTGCACGCTTCGTTTTTATTTCCTCTAGTATCCATTTCCTCATCTTTTATTAATTTTCTACTCTATTTAAGCTTCCTCGTTGTTGAATTCATGGTACCAGTGAACTTCTGTATGGGTTATTATCCTTGATGATTGCGAATGTAATTGACTGAAGCGGACGGCTTGACGGTAGTAGGTCGAACGGTGAGGTGGCCGATTGCAGATTGGCCGGTCGGCTGTCGTCTAGTCAGCGGTCGATGCGGCCTGCGCTCAATAGAGAGAATTGCACTGCGACAGAGGGCTTGCTTTTGCAATGGGGCGGCTCGATTTCAGTCAGCCAGACGGCAAGTTGCTTGGATGCAGGTCGGCTCGGCAGCGGTTAGTAGGTTGGGCATCAGTCAGTCATTGAGATGAAAAATCCGAGATTTACTCTGTTAGACCTCTTACTCATTTGCAGATTCATAAGCCTGCACAGAGATTTTTTAATCGACCAACGAGCTCTATAAATATGGTGAGCATGTAATGGAAAAGAGGTCAGAGATGCTTCTTGCAGAAACCATGGTAGTATTTAGATGAGAGATTAAGTGGGAGGATGGTTGGTACGCAGTTGAACTTCTCTAATAAGATCTGTGACCATTCTTCTTGCTCAGAGAGAGGGATTTCACAGCTGAGGCAACCTATATAGATGAACTCCATGCCTTCTGCCTAGTCGCCAATCGCGTCCTTGAGCTGAAGAAGAAGAGAATCTTTATCCCAAGAAGGTCTATCCTCGGCAGCCACCCCGGTCTTGGTGGGCGCGAATTGGAAGCTGGTTGGAAAAACAATGCTTATACTCTCATCTTCAATAGAGTAGGAAAAACAATGCTTATACTCCAAGGTCAGATAATATTCTTTCAGAAACATGTGGCATAAGCTGGTTTAAGAATCCAGGGGGAATGGCAATAGCATTTGAAACATCAGAGCCTGAAAATCCTTTATATTTTCCATCAACTCTGGATGAAAATCTGAGATTTCTATCGAATACAAGGAGGGAAGGAGCTTTGACAATGATTTGAGGACTGAAATGCCATATAAATCTAGTTACTTGAGGGATGAGATGGTCGACAAAGAAGATGGCAGGCTCTGTAGGCTATCAAGAGTTTCTACATCTAGGCGAAACAAAGAGGAAGGGAGAGACGAGGGTTTTGAGTGATATAAAGCTCAACTAAGGAAGTGGGAAGCTAACTTGCCCGAACCACGGTTCTGTATCAATTGTAAAAGAATCCAGCACATCATTAAAATGAATTATCAGCCTTTTCAAGGAGGCGACACTTCCTGCTAGCAAGAAGTGGATCACTTATAGCAAGCTCACTGAGAATGAGCTGGAACTTCTCAGTGCCACTTTCTGAGAGAAATCAGATTGGGGCAACCTTCACTTCTCAAATTTGTCAGTGCTTCAGGTCTTAAATCCGCAATAAGAAGAGATGCGACGTCTGGACACGAAAGGACCTCTACCGTTTCAAGGGGAATGGGTTTTGAAATGCCGCAACAGTTGTTGGTAGCTTGCTTGTAGTTCAGGGCTTTCCATCCAATGTTTTGTATCTTCATTTTCTTGAGCTTAGGAGGCAACTCTTTGTCATTCCCACTGAAATCAGCCGGCTGAAATTGGTCGGCAGGGAGGGGTCCTGCTCACGACAGGAAAAGCTAGGGGTTGGTCAACGGAATTTGATCATATAGGGAGAGTTCTGGCTTGCGATGGAAAATTTTTTGGTCGGCCAGTGGAAATGGCGTCTAAATGAGGTGATTCAGCAGTTGTGAGAGGTAGGCAAGTCGGTTGGGCAGTCAGTGCTGTAGACTTTTGCGCGGTAAAAATAGCCGGCTTGGAGATAGCCGGTACGGGGAAATTTGATGCACGATAGGATGGAAAATTGCATAAATCTACCGGAGAAAGGATAATTCGTTGATGTGGAAGTTCCCCTTGCGATTTTTGTTAGGATTGCCTCTGCAGAGGGTTTCTACTCAGTACTAGTTTGTCTTATTATTGATGACATGATCCACGCTCACCATACCTAAAAGGATGTTGAAACCAAATCCGTATGGTAGACCGTGCCCGTGTCCAATGAGCGTTGGACCGAAGAAAAGAGATTGCGAGAGGGTGAGAGGGAGAGAAGGAGAAGAGGAAGACTTCCCCTATGGGAAATTGTGGTGTTCAGGGGGCTCGTGAACTCATTTTATTTCATAAAACCATTTATTTCAATTGAAGGGAGCCCAAAAAGTCCCTTTACTTGAAAGGGTCCTACTATTTATAGATGATATGAGGACCAAAAAGTAAACTGTAATATTACCCTTGCTATTACATAATATTTTAATCTTTTATGTTGTTCCGTAGTGCTTGATATCTCATCGTCGACCGAATAAGTTATTTTGAAGTTTTTCTGTCGGGAGGAGTCATTAGGTTCCGGTGGCCAGTCGGGGGAAAAGATCCTCCGTCGGGGAAAAAAATCCTTTGTCAGGGGAAAGGAAAGAGTCCTCCGTTAAAGGGACAATCCTCTGTCAGAGGAAAAATCGGCTGATAGTAGCCAATTTGATGGGAGTAGGCCACAAATTTGTCTTGAGATCCGTGCAGATCATTTTTGAGAGTACACATACATACCACTCAATTCCTATAAATTTACATATCTAGTTTATTTTTTACATTTATAACACCCAAAACATTCATATCAAATTAAAAATACCATTAGTTCAACTTAAAAAAAAAAAAAAAGGTGAAAAACACTTTTCACGTTTAGCTGAACTGCTATGCGTTAGATACCTAAATGCATAGGAATATGGTGGTTTGAATGTAAATTTTCACAATTTTTAAGTTGATTTGGAATTTGCAACAATTAATTTAAGCCTTTCAACAATTTCTCTCTCCTTTCTCTTAAATTTCCAGCATGCAAACACAGTCTAAATCATGATATCATCTGATCAAGGCCAGCAATAACTCCCTCAATTTTGTTGCAGGATGCAATAACCAAACTGCTAGCATTCGATACTAGTAAAGGAAACCTGATCCAGTTCTTCGAAGAGGTATTCCCTGAAGAACCCTGATATCAAGGACAGAAGAAGATAGCTTACAGTAGATTTCTGCATCAAGTTACATATTTTACCGAGGATTTCAGGTTTGCATAAATTGGAACGCTTTAATTCATATTTTCCATGATGTTTTACACCAATAATCTTCGGCAAGTACAGTTTTTTTCTTGAACCAGATAACATGATTAAATATTTACACTAATGGATATAAGATTGTTTGATTAATTACATATAACACTAATCTCAACATAAATTTTATCAGTAGGAAACTCATCTTAATCAAATTTAACCAAGTATACCGTGACCTAAACTAATGTTAATATTACCGAAAGGACAATGTTTGAAATTTTGAGGAATTGTAGGGCATCTAGTTTACATGAAATGAAAGTCATTCTTATAAGGCACAACAACTTAAAGATACTGCACAATCTATATTTTAAGCTTCCCGCCATACATTGAATGTGTTGACAGGTAATTACTTGGAAGAAGTATTTCTTCATGCTCATGGACAATAACCAAAAATGAGATCTAATCTGTCCAAAGGTGCATAGTCTGATACCTATGAATCATTTCAGATATTTCTAGTTTTTCTTATTTGTACAGGCCTGAAGTAAATGTTTTGTTATTGTGCAAATAAGTGGGCTCATAGGCTCAACTTTTTTTGCTTCTATGAGAGTCGAATTATTTATTGACATTTGGAGTTGATCACGGAATATAAACTACTTTACTAGATATGTAGAAAGAATTAAAAAATGATTCTGATTAGAAATTAATGATGGGCATGGGTTTTCTATCGGTGCAATACTAAGCTCTTTATATGCTAGTATAACTGGCATTGGGTGCACTTGAATAAATTTTTTAAAAATATATTTTAAATTTTTAACTTTTTTTCCTTTACTTTATTTAAGTGATAGAATAAATGTATCGAGAGAAAATAGAAAAAATTTATGTATTTTCTGTAAAATTATTAAGCGCTTGAGATTGTCATCTTTTTTTAATATAATTTTTAATTTCCTTAATTTTTATTTAGGTATATTTTAAGTTAATAGATTAATAACCTTTGCATTGATGTGTGTTAGAAATTTATGGCGATAAAGTAATGAATTATCGTCTTAGAGTTGTATGAAAATTTAATCAATACTCAGTTAAAGAGAAGTAAGCAGGATGAGATATTTTGATTTTATAAATGAAAAATTTTAAAATATAAAAAATCATATGGTCTAATCTAGTTTAAATAATCTATTATAAATGGTTGGTGCGCATGTTCATTGTTCTCCTAAATTAAGAAAAATGGAGTTATGAAGATGATTATTGTAAATGTATTACAGTGGTTCATCGATAATAATTATACTTTATTTGTACTGAATGTAATAATAGTGTGTTGCAATTGTTGTATTCTATTGTTATAGAGGTAGTAGTTTGTTCTGAATGTTGTAGTTAATGATTGTAGTAGCAACTTGTCATATAAGTTCTAGTTGAAAGTCATGGTATTTATTGGCTATGTGGGGGGTTGCAAATACTTGCTTTAGGAACATCACTTGGCCACAAAGGTTATAATACAAAGTTGCATGAGTTGTGAGCCACGTATGTAGCAGTTGGTCATGTGGGCCGTAGTGATGAGTTGCATTGATGTTCATAGGCCATGTGAATGAGAGTAGAGAGTTACATGAGTTGTGTGACATTTAGGTTATAGTTGATCATATAGTTCGTAGTGGTGAGCTGTAATGATGCATGTTGATCATGGAGATTGAAATCGGGAGCTGCAGAGTTGTGCATCATGTAGGTCTTAATTGATCACATAGGTCGAAAGGTGAGCTATGATGGAGTTCATAGTCCGCTAAGGCTGTAGTTGGAAGTTGCATGAGTTGTGAACCATTGAGGTCGTAGTTGGTCACGTAGGTCATAACGGTGAGTTGTGATGACGTTTGTAGGTTGTGGAGGCTAAAGTCGGGAGCTGCACGAGTTGTGAATCACATAGATTGTAGTTTGTCTTTTAGTTCGTAGTGGTGAGCTGTGATGACATCACTAGGTCGTGGTGGCTGGTCTCGGGAGCTGCTAAAGTTGTGTATCACGTAGGTCTTAGTTGATCATGTAGGTCACGATGGTTGGAGTCAGGTGGTTCACAAGTTGTGTGTCATGTAGGTCATAGTTGGTCATATAGAACAGGAGTTGGGAGTTGCACGAGTTGTAGACCACTTAAGTCACGTAAGCTACAGTGGTGAGTTGTGATAATGTATGTAACTTGCAAGGGCTGGAGTTTGGAATTGTATAATCTGTGTTATGTTGGTCGTAGTGGTGATCTATGATGACGTTCGTAGGTCGTGGAGGATGGAGTCGGAAGTTGTACGAGTTGTGTGTCACATAGGTCGTAGTTAGTCATGTAGCCCGTAGTAATGAGCTGTGATAATATATTATGTTGCAGAGGTAGGAGTCAAGTGCTGCATGAGTTGTTGACCACGTAGGTCATAGTCCGTCACTTGGCACATTGGTGAGTTTTGATGAGGCTTATAAGTTGCGGGGGCCGGATTCCAGAGTTGCATGAGTTGTGGACCACGTAGGTTCTAATTAATCACGGAGGGCATAGTGGTGAGGTGTGATAATATTTGTAAGTTGCAGAGGTTAGAGTTGGGAGCTTCACGAATTCAGATTTAAAAATTCGGAGAATGTCACCATCTTTGGTGTGTATTATTATGTTGTTTAAGGAGGTGTTGTTGCACTATAAGTAGAGTGTGTCGTTACTTTGCAATGTATGTTGTGGTTCTGTTGTGCATGTGACTTTAAAAGGGATTTTGTCATAAGAAGCATGTGGCACCCAATGATATTCGACGATGGCCTAAGGCGGCGGTGAGTTGGCCAGAGGGTGACGGCTGTTGAAGTTGGTGGATGACAACAGCGATGGTCGGAGTTAACTGGAGGCGTTAGTGGCCGGAGTTGGTCGAAAGCAGCGACGACGGTTATTTTAGGTGGTGGCGGTGACAACGACAATTGAAGTTGGTCAGCAGCGGTGGCGGACACAGTTGGCAGGAGGGCAATGACCAAAGACGAAGGCGAAGACAACTACAACGAAACAACAGCTGCCAGAGTTGGGACAGCGTCGACTGAATTTGGTTGGTTGTGTTGGCCTGTAGTTGCTGGAGCAAGAGTCTGACAATAGTCGACGGTGGTCGGCGGTTGCAGGTGTAGGAGGCTGACGATGGGCTACAGTGGTCGGAAGCGATGGTAGCAGCCGATGGTGGTGGAGGGCGCCAGTTGCCAGAGTTGGTCGGATCTATGGTGTAGGATGTTGGTTTGCACCTCCGTCTTCTACAAACTCTGGTCTTCCTCTTGCCCAAGGTCCAACCATCCTTCTCATGAGATGGTAGGGCTTTATTTATAAAGTTCAAGTTGCAAATAAGGAAAGAACTTAGACCATTATTGATTAGACGACGTTCGATGGACATTTTAGTGTCTTAATGATGTAGGAATTGAGCAATCTTGGGTTCGTTGAATTTGTCTTGTTTAGACGCTCAATTTGACTATAAGCATGACATATTTAGAATACGTTTGACCTTCTCATGATGCTTGGGAAGCTTCTAAAAGTGGTTTCACAACTTGATCTAGGCTTGATTTGGCTCGAATTAGACCGATTTTGGCACCTTTGAGCTTGTCTCGTCAAGCAAATCTATTTAACTGTAAGTTTGCTGAAATTGAACTTTTGGGTCACTTTTAGATGAAGTTTGAACGCTTCTTGCTTATAATTTTTTTCAAAATTTGTGTCATGCCTAAAACTGTGGGATGATGAAAATTGGTTGATGACATAGTAGTTGCCCTCTATTTTCAGACGATACCAACTTTCGACAATATTCAAGGCTGGAACACTTTATATCTTCATGATATTATTGATGTAATACCAAAGATTTTTGTGTTATGTGTGTAAATATACAATTTTTGGTGCTAGAAATGTAAATATATAAGAACTATATGGCATGTATGTATATATTTCAAGAACCGGTTCAGAAAGAAACTGAAGTATATTAAACTTGTAATAATTGGATTTTTTCCTCTAATCTTATTTTTAAAATAAAATTTTTTTTTGTCTTAAAATTTTAGATTATCTCAAAAAAAAAATTTTCCTTTTTTCTCTTCTCTCTCCAATTTATAAATAGGTCAAGAAGAATAGAAAGGTGGAGTTCCTGACTCTGCCTAGCAGACGATCCGGGATTTTCTAGAAGGAGAATTTTTTTCCTTATCCTACCCAACATAACATTTGGGATCTTTTTTCGCAATCTCCTTTCGTGTTGCCATGAAGAAGCAAAAAGTCGTGTCGAAAGTTGTCGTCAGCCGTACCCAGCAAGACATCTGGGATTTTCTTTCGTGATTTTCTTTTGTGTTGCTATGAAGAAGCAGGAATTTATTCCGAAAATTGTCCCCAATTTTACCTGCAGGAAATTCCGAAAATTATCCCCAATTTTAATCTGCACTGCTGTGAGAAGAAAGTTGTCTCCAATCCTACCCAACAGGACATCCGGGATCTTCTTTTGTGTTGTGGAGAAGAAAGTTGTGTCCCCGAACCTACCTAGCAAAACATCTGAGATCTTTCGTTTTTTTGTTGCCTTTTCCGAGGAATTTGTCTCCCTAAAAATCAATGTATGTACCAACATTTTGAAGAGAAAATGATGTGACTTGTTGTTACATTTGTACACAATGATAATATGTTTGTTTGTATGACTTTAGCTTATTTGATGCAATAAAAAAATCGGACGTTGCTTTTGTATTTCCTTCTAAGCCTTTGTTGCTCTTTTTTTGGGGAGTTGTTGTCCCTTCTTGGGGTGCTGTTGAGAATATTTGACTTTTCATAGGTTAATTAGTCAAAGCGTGTCTCCTCGATGACCATAACTTGGAGTGGAAGAAGTTTATTGTAATCTACGTTGGTTGTAAGGCCTATCTAAGGTTGTATAGCCAAAGATGCTCGACAACCTTAACCTATGTTGGAACATAGTCGAAAGAAGAATCCATTAAGGATATGGAACATATCTGATTGTATAATTAGAGTTGCTCAAATACATTAACTTGTGTTGGAGCGAAGTTGAAAGAAGAATTCATTAAGAATGTGAAACTCGTCAGAGGTCGTGAAATCGAAGATAAAACCCGTCTTTTGTTGCATAATTGGAGTATTTGTTTTACGACATTAATCTGTGATGGACAAAGTCATTTGAAATTCACCAGTGATGGTTGACCTATCAAATGTTTTCAGTCGAAGCTTCTGTTTGATGGCTGCAACCTATTATGGAAGATTTTGGATGAAATCCACAAGGATTTTTGACCTATTCAAGGTTTTTAGTTGAATCTTCTGTTTGACGACTGTAGTATCTGATGGAAAAGGTCAAATCAAGTCAGCTTGGGATCGATTAAGCCCAGAATGAGGTGTTAGAGATGCTATGTGTTTCTCAAGCTTGGAGCGTAGGTCGCAATGAATCATACTTTTTTCTTAGATGTATGGTTGCAGTCATACTCAAGAATGATTTTTAACAACTTACTAGTTGTTGCTTTTGGATTGGTTCTCTCGAAGAGTGCATTATCCATAATAGCCCTTAAAGTAACTCAACGAACTTTGAATGGATCAGTTTTTTTTTTACCGAGTGGAGGAAGAACTCCAACATGGTGGGGTGGGGGACGCTGAGGGAGCACTTTTGGCGTTGAAAGTTGTCTTCTAGTCTGGAAGCAGCTCCCGAATACTTGATGTCTGAATAAAATGTGGAATGACTACCCCACTACAGTCATACATGGGATGTTAATATGAATGATTATTAGAGACTACAGTAAATGATACCCCTCAACCTGAAAATTCTTATTATAGACTTGATGTCTGAATGAAATGTGGGAAGAGTGTCGCACTACAATTTTGCCTAGGACATTAACATGAACGAGCTTTCGATACTGTAGTGAAGGTTTGTCCCCACATCGAAGGATATTTTAGAGGTGTAAAGGATATTCCTTCTCTATTTGTATGATGTATATCTTTTGGAAATAAAATAGAGGTTCGATGTCCCAAACTTGAAGACTTTGTCAAACGGGACTTTATTTCCCACAGACGGCGCCAAACTAATGTGTGTTGGAAGGTCTGCATGGTTGAGTAATGAATTATAATCTTAGCGTTGAACGAAAACCCAACGCGCTCTTAGGTAGTTAAAGAAAAGTAAATTGAAGGAGACACCTCGATTTTTACGTGTAAAGCCTCAAAAAGGGGAAATCATGGGGTCTAGCCCAATTGAAATTATCCACTATATATGGTGAGTACACAACTCTCTTCTCCTAAATTAGGTAGATGGAGTTATAAAGATGATCATTATAAAATGTACAATAGTGGTTCATCAATAATAACCATAGTCTGATTGTAACAAATGTAATTCTAGATGATAGTAGGTTGTAAGGGTTGTTGTTGATTGTATTGTTGTAGACAGTGATCGTAGAGCCAACTTATCTTACATTTTATAGTTGAAAGTCATGATAGTAATTAGTTATAAGCGTCAGTTGGCCACAGTAGTTGTAGTAGGAGGCTTTAAGAGTTGTCATTCACGTAAGTTGTAGTTTATCACATGGGTCGTAGTGGTGAGTTGCGATGTCGTATATAACCCGCGGGTGATGGAGTAGGGAGCTGCACGAGTTATGTGCCACACAGGTCGTAGTTGGTCATTTGGGCAGTAGTGGTGAGCTGTGATGACGTCCGTTGACTATGGTGGCTAGAGTTGGGAGTTCACGAGGTGTGACCACTTAGGTCATAGTTGGTCACGTAGGCTATTGTGATGAGCTGTTCTGTTCATAGGTCGCAGAGGATAGAGTCGAGAGTTGCATGAGTTGTAAATCACATAGGTCATAGTTGGCCACGTAGGTCGTAGCTAAGAGCTTTAATAACATCCGCAGGGCCCGGAGTGGAGAGCTGCATGAGTTGTGAACCACGTATGTGGTAGTTGGTCACGTAAACCGCTGTGGTGAGCTGTGATGACATCTATAGGCCACGAGAGGGGGTGAGCTGAGGAGCTGGAATTCGAAGCAGCATGAGCTATGTGCCCAGTATGTTGTAGTTGGTCATGTAGGCCACGGATGTCGGAATCGAGAGTTGCAAGAGTTAAGCATCATGTAGGTTGTAGTGGTGAGTTTTCATGAAATTTGTATCCTATAGGGGCAGGAATCGAGAGTTAAACGAGATGTGAACCATGTAGACTGTCATTAATCACATAAGCTGTAGTGGTGAGTTATGATGACATATCTAGGCTACGGGGGCCAGAGTCGAGAATTGCACCAGTTGTGTGTCGTATATGTCTTAGTTGGCAATGTAGGTCATAAGGGTGAGTTGTAATAACATTCGTAGGTTACAGGGCCAGGAGTCGGGAGTTGCATAAGATGTGGACCACGTAGGTCGTAGCCGGTCATGTTGACTGTAGTGGTGAGTTGTGATGATGACTGTAAGTCGTAGGAGCCGAAGTCGGGTGATGCATGAGCAATGGACCATGTATGTCGTAGTAGTGAATTGTGATGATGTTCGTAGGCCGCAGTGGTTGGAGTTGGGAGCTTCATGGTTGTAGCTTTAAGAGTCTGGAGAAAGTCACTGTCATTTGGGTGTATTGTTATACTGTCTTTTGGAGTTGTCTTTGCACCGTAAGTAGGTTGTGTCATTACTTTGCAGCGTACATTGTAGTTCTGCATTGCATGTTGTGACTTCACAAGGGACTTTGTCGCAAGGAGATGGTCGACGGCGGTTGTTAGAGGCACCAATGGTCCTAGTTGGTCGGAGGCGGCGGCGGGCAGAGTTGGTCGGTGGCGGCGACGTGCAGGGTTGGTTGAAGGATAGTGGATGTGAACGGCTGTGGCTAGAGTTTGTCGGAGTTGTTCGGAGGGCGTGATCAGAGTTAGTTGGAGGCGAAGGTAGGGCTGTAAACGAGTTGAGGCTGAGCTTGTGTTTGACTCGTTTGAATTTTGGCTCTTGTCCAAATCGGTGTCTTGAATAACATATTCTTGTTCATGTTCAACTCCAAATTGTTGTTATTTGCGGCAGCGGTGTTATTTGTGTGTTTTTCAGTGACAATAACATCATAATAACACCGCAATAACACTGCAAATTTACTTAAATAACATAGCCGTCGAAAACACTCCAATAATGTCGCGGGTTACCTTAATTAACACCGTAAATTAACTCGAGTAACACCCCCGCCAAAATATGTTAATAACATCACGGGTTATCTCAAATAACACCGGAATAATGCTCGAATAACACTACAATAACACTAATAACACTGCAATAACACCACAATACTACCGTTGTCGCAAATTTGTGATGTTATTTGAGGTGTTATTGCAGTGTTATTTGAGGTAACCCACTGTGTTATTGGAGTGTTTTCGGCAGCAGTGTTATTTGTGGTGTTATTGTGGTTTATTTGAGAGTTATTTCGGTGTTATTTGAGGTAACTCGCGGTACTATTGGCGTATTTTGGTGAGAGTGTTATTCAAGTTAATTTGCGGTGTTAGTGGTGTTACTGTGGTGTCTTTTTAGGTAACCCATTGTGTTGTTGGTGTATTTTTAGCGACAATGTTATTCGATAAAATTTGTTGTGTTATTGTCGCGGAAAACACAAATACCACTACTGCCGCAAATAAGATGTTTTTTGAAGCATCGGACTAGTTCGGGCCGAGTCGGGTGAAAAAATTGAGTGGTATGTATGTAAATGTCCAAAATGGAAATATATTATTTATGTGCTATAAGAATTGGTGGTATGTATGTAAATATATTATATTTATTTATTTCTTTTCGACCTGAGTCCAACATTAGCTTAAAATTTTGTTCATCTTTGGCTCGTTTATGATTCGAGCTTAAAAATTTGTTTGTGTTCTTATTCGGCTCGTTTATGATTCAAATCGAACACGAGTTGTTCGTGAAGAACAAGCCAACTTGACAGCCCTAGGCGAATGAGGTGGCTTTTGGTGGCAGCGCTGGCAATCGAAGTTGGTGGGCGGCGTTGGTCAGCAGCTACAGATGCAAGAGGCTGATGATGGTCTATGGAGGTTGGCGGCTGTTGGTGCATGAGGCCTTCGATGGACGGGAGTGGTTAAAAGCGGTGGCAACGATCAGAGGCGAAGGAGGCTGAATGCAGCAACAACTGGACTTGGTTGGATCTGGGGTCCAGGATGCTGGACTGATGCTCCCTCTTCTGCAGACTCTAGTCTTCCTCTTGCTCTGGGTCTGACCTATTTCTCATGAGAGAAGTAGGGTTTTATTTATAGAGTTAATCTTGCAAATATTGAAGAAATTTGGACCACTTTTGATCAGACGGCTCAGATAGATCATCTTGATCTTATGGCGTTCAATGGGCATTTTAGTGTATTAATAATGTCGAAATTGAGCAATCTTGGGCTCATTGGATTCGTCTTGCTAATACACTCAATTTGACTATAAACATGTCATATTTGAAATTCATTTGAAATTCCAATTAGGCCTGAAAAGCTTCCAAAAGTGGTTTAAGCAGGTTCAAAATATCAGATCGGATATTGAATCGGTAGAGGATAAGGTTCAAGGTTTAACAATTGAACCGGGGTTGAACCGAGGGTTCACCAGGTGATGTCATAAATATAAAAAAATATAACTTAAATGACACAAAAAATAGATGAAATTCTGAAAGGTCAATAAGAGGGAAACATAACCAAAAAATATAGAAGCGTAAAAAAGAAAATGCAATAGACTAGTAGTCATATATATTTCATAAAAGGTAACAAAAAAAATGAAGCTAAGAATAATTAGAGAAAGACACGTTCTTCATCGTATCAAAAGATTCAAACCATTCTTCATGATTTCAAATAAAAATGTAAGATATAAAAAAAATAATTACACTTTAACCAATTGATCAGTTTGACCACCAGTTGACCAGCTCGACCGCCAATTCCAGCTGGTTTTTTTTCGATTCAATGCAGAGCTAGTATTCAGACCAACCAAAATCGGATCACCGGCAGGTTCAAGGTCAAACCGTTTGAATGGTCATGTTCGGCTTGATTTTTAAATTGTTGGGCTTAATAGCTTTATTTTAGCTCAATTTGACTTGTATTGGATCGATTTTGGTACCGTTGGGTTCATCTCGTTGAGTCAATCCGTTTGACATTAAGTTTGCTGAAAATGAAAGTCTTTATGACTTTTTAATCGAAATTTGAATATTTTTTGTTCAAAAAATTTTCTCCAAATTCATATCATTGCCTTCTATTACATGTCGGATGATGAAATTTTTTTGATGACTTATGGAAGCACAGTAAAACTCTGGTCAGTCAAAGCATCAAAAAATGTTTTTTTTTTATCTTTTAAATATTTATGTACATTCAGCATTTAAATGCTGAATGTGAATAAAATGCTATCATTCAATTTTTTAACATTACCTCTGAAATGCCAGCATTACTATCTTTTCAAAAATGTGAGGCATATTTTTTATGTATAAATTTATACTACAAAATTATTATAAACGTAAATATTAAAGATTAAGTATTAGATGTATAAATATGCAAAAATTGTGATATGTACGTAAAATTTTCCTAGACTTTATAAATAATGCCTCTAGTTTGAAATAGGGCTGTCAAAACGGCTCGTTGTTCGCGAACTCGATAAGTTAACGAGCCGAACACGAACTAAGATGTGTTCGTTCGTGTTTGGCTCATTTTGGCTCGAAATACTACTCATCAAGTTTATATATATATTAAGTAGTATTTTAAGAAAATCTAATTGACTACAAAGCTACAAATATTTATAATCAATTAAAATATTAATTAAGAAAATAGAATAAAAATTATTAAATTAGATTCAAATGTTGTTTTAATATAGATAATAATTTTTAAATTTTGCTCAAATTTTTATTGTCTTATGGCTACATGATTAGGGTTGTTAAAAGGAATTTTTGTTTGTGAACAGCTTGTGTTCGGCTCGTTAAGCAAACGAGCTGAACACGAACACACTTTTTGAGCTCGAAATATAAACGAGCCGAACACGAGCTGTTCGGCTCGTTTACACCCCTATTTTGAAATGGCAGTGGATTGAAGCATTTGATTTTACATTTTGGAATGATATGAAAATCAAATTTTGAGATTTCAATTTCAAATGTTTCATTTCAGAAATAGATTTATGAAGAATAAGTTAAGGACAAATTATAGGAAAGAATATGTAAATAAATTGCATTTAGGGGAGAAGAAGTAATATATATATATATTAATATGGGGCACAAATGCGGCGTTTTATGTAAAAGTTGGTATTTTTATTAAAATATTTTTAAAAATAATTTCTTAAGATATAATATATAATACTCTAATAAATTTAACTATTAATATATATTACCTATTATTATAAATAAATTATTAATTTATATTAGATTAATTCACATTTAAATAATATTAAATTAATAAAAATATGTATATGAGAAAAATAAATTAATTAACAATAAATCAAATTCGTAAATTTTTTTTGCACATTAAAATATCCTCATATCATGTTTACAGAATAAGATTTTCTACGACAATGTGGAATGACCTCATAACCTAATATATATTAAGGTGGCAGTTATAATGGTAATGTCGCAGCTGATGGAAATTCTACTTCAACATTCTCGTCTTTAGTTGTGTCATTCGTAGCTTTTTGGATCATCTAGTAATTTTCCTGGTTCATGAGATTGGTGGTATATAAATTGGAGAGTTACCAACTTTTATTTTCAAAACATGTCCATGTTTGCGTTTATATATGATGTAGATCTAACTTTTGGTACACCTTCAATTTATACACCGTCAATCCTCATCAATGAAAACAATTATTGGACGCTACAGCAAGCTGCGAATGACGCAATTGAAGCCAATGATATTGAAGTAAGATTTCAATGCTATCAGCCACGATATAAACCGCTGCGACCGTTGTCTCGATATACATCGAGCTCATATGTCATTTCACGCGTTATAGAAGATAATATTATTTTGTAAGCATGATATTATGATGATATTTTAATGTGAAAAAAAAATTATGAATTTAATTTATTATTAATTTATTTATTTTTTTATATGTTTGGTATTAACTTAATATTATTTATATATTGATTAATATAATGTAATTAAATTTTATTTATTATAATAGATATTGAATATTAATATTTAAATTAATTAAAATATTATAAATTATATATTACGACCTTTTTTAATAATATTCTGATTGAAATACCCTTAAAGAGAGCATTTTATTCATAAAACTAAGGCCTCGTTTGGGGCAGCTTATCCGATGCGGCAGCATTTTGAAAATGTCGTCTCATCATTTGAAAACTGTGTTTGAGCGGTTTATCTCGCGGTCTGCATTTCAATATATGCAGCTTATCTGGATAAGCACAAGCAACTCCAAATACACCCTAAAGCCCAATTTAGGACAGCTTATTCATGTGTTTGGGGTTTTGAAACAGCACATGCGGCATTTGTTTCGTGAATCTGATCTGCATATTCCGCCCGCAGTTCTGATTTTTCTCTTTGATGTGACTCGCGTCTTCGATCAGATTATTACTGGCTTACCCCTTTGTTCGTCCTTCTCCCACTCGAGCTCTGGGTTGCTAATATCTCGCTCCTCCACCATCATTGAAGCGACCGAGATAGTCAAGGACGCTTCCTTTCCTTCAAGCTCTTTCATGTCTATAAACAGGAGGGGGCCGACAAGATACTGAGATTTATCCTTCAAGAGAGCTAACCAAACAGGAAGATCAGATCCGCAATAACCTTTGCTTTCGTGCTAACCATCAAAAGAACTTCCACCAGATTCTTTGTTATAATCATCTCCATCATCTTCTCCAGCAACTGGTCATCATCAAAAGCTCTCCAGCACCCGCGCTTACAATTTCTCAAGTTCATTCTCGAATAAAGTGCTTGACGAAAATCACAATAGAGCAATAGAGCTAACGCGAGGAGCAGAACAAAAATGAAGGCATATGGCAGTCCAATCTCTTTATCAGAGACTCCTGGAACGCTCAAGAAGACTCTAAGCACATTATTTGTTTTCAATTTATGGCCCTTACAATATATATATCATTGCAAAAAATTTATACGGAAAATAATTTACATGACGTAAAAGAGAATTATACATATCTTTAATGACTTTAATAGAAGTCATATCAACACATTTCTTTTCAAAAACTCACCAAAGAACTTCGCTTCGAACATTATTATAAGTTTTTTTCTAAATCAACAAAGGCAAAATGGTCATTTATTCACAAACAGCTGCAAATCAATTATTTTCAAACAGGTACCTGAATTAACTAGTCAGCTTATCAGGATCAGCTGTTGATCAGAAGTTTATCAGAATAATAGGTCATCTGGATAAGTTGGATAAACTGTAACTGCCCCAAATAGTCCCTAAATATTATATGAAACACCATAAATAAAGGTACTTGAGCACCATTTTAATTTTATTCTACACTCTTCTCTCTATCCAACTTATCCAGGTGGTTTGTTTTGGGCAGCTGCAGCTTATCTTGATAAGCTCCTGATCAACAGCTGATCTGGATAAGATGTCTGTCTGTTTGGTTTGAGCGTTTGGAAAACAACTGATTTTTCAGTTGTTTGTAGATAAATGATCATTCTGCCCCTGAATTGAATAAGTTGTTAAGCTGTTTGGTTTCTGCGTTTTGAGAACAACTGATTTGCAGCTGTATGTGAAAAAATAATCATTGTGGTCAAGCGCAATGGAGTTGTTTGCAACAGTAATATAATGAGACACATTCAATATACTAAAATCCTAAAAACACTATATATGGTAAAATTCCTTCACATTTAAATTATGCTTCTCTTTATTGCTTAAATTGGAGCTGACAACTCTTGAACCTCATGACAAGTATTTGCATGATATGTTTAAGATAATATGAAATCTGATTTTACATTTACATAAGTGCTTTGCCTTTTACCTTTTCTTTCTAACAAAAAATTATTTTCCAATATAAACTCTTAATTCAAACCTATAAGGAATAATCACGAGGTTAAACATATCATGAACCTTATCATTTGCAGGCAAGCATTTCGACTATTTTGGTCACACACAGTGAAGCTGTTTGCAATAGTAATATAATTGGAACACCTTCAATATATTAAAATCTAAAAAAATACTACGTAACAGTTCAAAGAAAATAAAAGGGAGATTATCCACAAACATATTTAAAAACAAAAAAAAAAAAAACATAACAGAATTATAACTAAAAATGGAGAAGGCGAATGTCTGGAGCAACAGTCTCTGATTAAGATGTGAATCTCAAGCAGATGTCTGATTGGGATATTGTCGAGCCCAATGAACATGTTGAAGCGTCTGTCTATATGAAGAACTAGCACTTCGGGACTGATTGCCCATTGTGAACACCTTTGAAGTTGTCGGGCCGTGGCCGGCGAGCAACACAAACAAATGCTGTCGCTCCGGCTCCGCTCCCGCTCCCTTTCCCGGTCTAACATCTAAGCTTCGTGAACCGGCGTGGATAGCTCCTGCTCCCGAGAATATAACCCATGCTCGATCGGACTATTACATCGTTCCCCCCTCTTCACCTGCGCTCCTCCATGTCTTCCGCTTCGTCTTCTTCATCTTCTTGGTCCTGCCCACGCTGCACATTCCTCAACCCTGCCTCCCAGAAACTCTCCTGCCAGATCTGCCTTTCTCCTTCCGCCATCGCCGGCGATGTTGGGGGTGGCTCTTTCTCTATCAATGGGAATAGGGCTTCCTCCATTGGGGCTGCTGCCTCACCAGGACAATGGCCTTGCACTGCCTGCACCTATCTGAACCCTAACGGAAACGCCTGCTGCGAGCTCTGCGGCACTCGTGCCGCGCCATTCTCCCGTTTCCTCAGCGACGAACTCGACCCGGCCGAGCTCTCCGCTACCGATCCCTCCATAGGATCGGTCTTTCTCCCTCTCCAGCGCTGCGGAAGCAAGCGACCTGCGCCCTTAGAAACCGCTGACGACTCCCGATCATTGGAGAAGTTGGCGAGGTGTGAGAAGGAGGAGCATTTGGGGTTATCAAGTAAAGTTTTCTTTATTAGCCATTAATTCTTTAAGGTTCTCAACGATGCGCGCGCCTTTACTTTTCTCTTTTTTTTTTTTTTTTTTTTGCATATTTATGCCAGCGATGCTTGAAAAAACATTGTGGCGAATGGCGATCCTCTTCTGGAAAATTTTCTGAATCAGTCATGGCTATCAGGACCTTTCTTATTTCTGATTACTGATATATGATGGGCGCATGCAAAATTCCCGATGCTTTGAATGATGACTGTCTATGTTAAAAAAAAAAAGGAAAACAGATTTTTTATTTCTTTTTAAGAGTGAGCGATGCCACCATGTTTTTTTTTTTTTAATGATGTCTGATGCTTTCTTATGGAAAAATATTGACTTTGTATCACCATAAACATGTTTATATTATATTCCTTTGCCAGTTATGTCAGATTTATATTCTTATACAAACAAATTTAAGTATTTATTTTTCTTTTGGAGACTGAACCTCCTATGAATGTGTAAGAGTATCAGAAATCTGTCATTTTTTTCTGCTTCCAGTAGGTTCTAATGACAGGTACGTAGGGAAAACAGCCTAATGAAACAATGCTTAGCTATGGTACAATTTTTCATTATTATTTTTAACTATTAATGGGGACGCCATGTTTAAGTTTACAGGTGTCTGAGCCTTTGCTGTGGTAAATTGATGGCTCTATATCTATACAAACTTCATTTTATAATGTTTTTGAGGATCAGTGTTGCTTTCTGAAATGGTATTTAATCGTAGATTTTCAGAGGTTTATATGTTTCAAGGACCAATGCTATGGAGGTAGCCTTGATCTAATGAAATTAGGAAATAGGACGTGTTTATTGGATTAATAGTCAACCTTTACCATGGCGTATTTTAATCGGCTATCCTTTATCGTAAAATATAGGTCAATGGGACTAGTAAGGAAATTGATGAATCAAAAGGATGGTGCGCTAAAGGAAGTTTCTTAATAGAGAACCTTAATAAAACCTCCATAAGTGTGTCTCTTTTTATTGAACCTTTTGATTATCTATTTCTTTTGATTTGTCATTGGTTCTTCTTTGTTTCTTTATCTCTTTTCTGTGAATTCTCATAGAAGCTTGATGGCCTTTTTTTCCTTATACCTATTTTTGCACCCAAATTGCCCTTACTCATGATAGATTATCTGGTGTGAGCTACATACATACACGCGGGATGCTAAAGTACATAGCTATGTACCAAGAAACTGCACATTTGTGTACTACCATCTTCCACATGTAAGGGGTGTTTGGTAGCACAATTTTAACAGGATTTAACCTTGGATTTAACCTAAATTCAGCCAAACACCAAAAATGGAGAAACCGAAATCCAACTCTCCGTTAAATCCTACCCTCTCCCATTCCGCTTCTTTCTAGGTCTCGTGTAATCATGCATGAAAATTTTCATGTTACTTTTTATGCATGGAGCCTCTTGAATCACCCTATTTTTTCTTTTCTTTGAAAATGATTCTGATTTGAATATGCAGAGATTTCTTCTTATTCTACATGGCTTACAACAATGTCTGATGGTTGGTTGCACAGGAAACTGCAAAATGTTGGTTATATTACTTCAATGTGGCCTTTTTTATTTTTAATATAAGGATAACCATGGCCACATAGTTAGCATGTATTGTCTTCTTTATCATTTCTTGCTAATTCTTATTCTATATCGCCACATACTAGCTTAGTTAGCTATTGCACACAAATCTTTCAAATTTTGGGGCATTTGCATACATATCACACAATCCTTATGTATTTACATACCTAAACTTTCCTATTTACATATATAACACTCGAAATCATTAGTATCACATCAAAAATAACATCATTGCCACTTTTTCAAAATAAAATGCACCTTTTCGTGCTCACGTGCCGAAGTGCTATGGATGTAAATATGAAAGTTTAGGTGTGAGATATGTAAATACATAATAATTGTGTTTGACGTATGTAAATTTCCCTTCATTTTTAGCATTTATGGAACCATTCTATGATAAATGTTATTGATGCATTGTTAGAATCCATGCAAGAAGGGATGAATACATATCACAGGTCCACGGTTTGATTAAACCTTAAGTCCCAACATGTTTAGCCCATGGTTTAAGCTGATTAATCTGTAGTTTTTAAATATGGAGCAAAACTGAGTTAACATATCCGTAATTTGTAAGATTTAGCTGTCATATATAATAATTTGATGGACCGCCCTCTTATTTAAGTAAAAAACTTTTTTGATTAATGTTGTTTAACTGTGTTGCTATTCACATATATCTGCTGTGCATTATGAGATGGTTTTAGATTTCTTATGCAGATACTTGTTCATAAATTTGATTGCAATTTATTTACATTTCCATGGAAATTTATTTTATACAATGTTTTTTCTTAAACCTTCGAGCAATATGTGAGTTTGTTTTGCAGGTAATGCTGATACAAGCTCAGACCCACAGATGTTAAAAATTTTGAGCTATAATGTCTGGTTCCGTGAAGACCTTGAAGTTTATAAGAGGATGGAAGCCCTTGGAAATCTTATTCTGGAGCACTTACCAGATTTCATTTGCTTCCAGGTCCAGTTTTTTTATCTATTTTACTATCGCCTTCTCCTTTGTTAATTCATCGAGAACTGGCGTTTAGCTGCAGCGTAACTTTTGCCAACACCTTGCAGGAGGTTACTCCAAATATTTATAAAATCTTCCAAAGCTCCAAGTGGTGGAAGGCATACAGATGTTCAGTATCTCAGGATATGGTAGCGGAGAGAGCTTATTTTTGCATGCAGGTTATTGTAGGGTTTGGACTATCATTTTATGTTGATTTCATATATTTCCTTGTGCACTTTTCTGCTTTGTCTTTTGGGGCTGCAAATGATTTTTTTGTTATTTTATATTATTTGTCATTTAATATCTTTTTTTGTGGAGTTGTGTTTCCATTTGGAACTCTAATAATGTGTTTATGTTTAATTTGACTTTGTAATTTTACAATTAATTTTTTAAAAAAACGTGTTCAGCGCTTAGATAATTATTTTTACTTCAATTTTTGGAAAAATTAATGATGATTAGGAAAATTAATAGCTTTGACTTAAATCAACATTTTGAGTGTGATGGGAGAAATTATATCGCGTGTAGTGTTTCATATATCAAGAAATGATATATGAAGTCAATCAAAAGTACTGGCTAAGGATGTATGATTTTAAAGTACAAAAGATTAATCAAAAGAAATAACTATCGTAGTTCAATTAATGGCATTTGAAGGCGAGAGATCTTAATATTTTTAAATAGATTGTTGAGAGAAATAAGTCTTTCTTACATACTAAACTAAGTTTCGCTTATCTTAAGATTATAGTAACTGTCAGGCATTTCTCCTTTCATGTGGAAGCAATTGCAAGTAACTGTCTTTTTTTTCTGTCTTTTTTTTTTAATGCATTGATTCTCTTTGAAATTTTGTTTTTGCATACTCTATTGTTTTTTCTTTTTTATTTTTTCCTTCTCCTGCGTTTCATAAAAAATTGAATTAGTCCGTGGCAAAACTAGTAAATTATTTTCATTTTAATATATACAAATTGAAGTAATGCAAAAAAAAAAAAAAAAGAAACATATTATTCATTTACACGTGTACCGATGGGGAGGATGAATAGAGTTGAGGAATTACTGATTAAATATAATTGAGAGGTGAGTAATGATTTTCTTCTGTGAGGTTTATTTATTAGGATTATTATGCTCCTCCACTTCTCCCATAAGCAAACATCAGGAAAGAAAGATTCACTTCCTATTGTCAACCAAGTAGCTTTTTTGGAAGCGACTTTACAAACTTGGCCTTCTTGAAATGGTACATGTCATTTCTTCCCGTCTAAGTGCCAGCAAAAATGCCCTTCGAAAATGCACCATCAAGATATAAAATTCATGCGTACCACTAGATTGATTTACAGACATACCTCACAATTCGTATATATTTACATATACAGCACCTAAACTTTTATTTTACGTAATACTCAAATCTTTGGCATCACATAAAAAATACCACTATCACTAGCTTTTTAATACCAAGATGTTATAAATATAAATATCAAACTTTAGGTGTTAGATATGTAAATACTTAAAGAATTGTGTGGTACGTATGTAAATTTCCACATATATGTTGTGGACTCGTAGATTTACCTCATTCGCTGGTTCCTTTTCAAGTTTCAGCTAAATTGAAAATACAATATGAAATAATCTCTCTTTCCTACTTGAGATTTGGTGTTTGTCTAGTCTTCTACTTGTAGAAGCTGTGTTGTAAAACCAAAGTCAACTGTGCCTAAAAAAAAACCATAGGCCTCGTTTAAGAAAAACTTCCATTACTGTTTTCCATTTTAGTAAGTCGTTTATTCATTTGGTAATTTGCTTAGTTATTATGTTTTTTCTTAAAACATTTTCAAAAAAATCTATTTTCTTGCTATTTCGGAACGTTTTTCTAACTTAAAGTCGCTTTTATCATAACACCTTGCCCAATTTTTCGTTTCTTCAATCCGAAACCATTGGCAGTTGGTCACTTTTTATTACTCTTATCAATTTATTGCATCACTAAAGCATTCAACATTGTTAAACACAGATGAGTAAGCTACCAGCAGAGACCAAATTCAGCCATAAACCATTCTCAAACTCCATCATGGGAAGAGAACTCTGCTTAGCTAACATGAAGCTTAATTCAGGCAAAACACTAGTGATTGCCACAACCCATCTAGAGAGTCCCTGTCCCGCCCCACCCAAATGGGATCAAATGTACAGCAGCGAACGAGTTGTTCAGGCAAAAGAATCGCTCGCTCTCCTCAAAGACTCGCAGAATGTGATTTTCGCTGGCGATATGAACTGGGACGACAAATTGGATGGAGCCTTCCCTCTTCCTGATGGCTGGATTGATGCTTGGATCGTCAAAAAACCAGGAGAAAATGGGTGGACTTATGACACCAAATCCAATAAAATGTTGTCTGGAAATCGTAATTTGCAGAAGAGACTTGATCGGTTCATGTGCAAGTTTAATGATTTTAGGATTGATAGTGTAGAGATGATTGGGATGGAGGCCATAGCTGGTCTTTTTTACTACAAGGAGAAGAAGGTGAGGAATCAGATGGTGAAGATGGAGCTTCCTGTGCTGCCTAGTGATCACTATGGCCTTTTGTTAACTGTCAGTAGCCTGTGATTACCATGCTTGAATGTTTTTTTTTCACGTTTATACCCTTGTATTTTGTATTTTGTCCCATGATATCCTGAGGTTCATGTGAGCTGATGTTTTGGAATTTGATCGTGGGATTTGGTTTTGGAAGAATTGTATGTTCCGAGTGAATGTTGTGGGTTGGAATTTTGCCCTTTGGATTCTAATGCTAAAGAAAAGTGATTGTGAATGTAATGGTTTTGATGTCATAGTTACAGAGATGCCTCATGTAATCATGTAATTTAAAAGTGTATTGGCTTTTTAACAAATGGCATCAATTTTCTAATACAATAATGTTTTCTTAGAGAGATTAAATCTGACTGATTGGTAGTTTGTAACATAGGATAACACTGTGGTGTTTCCTGAAGACTTGCTGAAATGAAGATAGTTGTTATTAGTATATGAAGTAGATTTTGTTGTAGCTTGAGGCTTTGTAGGCTTCATTTGATATTACTTGGCTTTTTCTATATTAGTTATTGCAATTTTAAGAATATAGTTTTACACAATAAATTTATTTATTTAAAAAAACAGTTACAAAACTGAAAAAATGATTGGTTCATAAAGGGCTTTAGTTGCCTCGTTTAAAATATCTAGTATAGCGATGAACATGTTTAGCTTCCTTTAGATCAAGAGCAGTAAACATGAATGTTGGATCCTTTTAGAACGTAGAATCCAGTATTATATGTGAGCTCGTACAACTTAAAAAGAAATTTTTTATTTTAGAGGAAAATGTGGAAGAAGGTTATCGCTCTGTCGATAGAGTTAAGAGTTTTTTTATTTTTCTCCGCAATTTTCAGGAAAGGATAGAATGGTTTGGAGAAAGGGTTTTTGGTTCGAGCGAGAGAGCGTGAATCAGATGAATCAGTCTCTCAAGATCCCCCCTTTTTCTTCCTTGCCTCTTGTATATAATGAAAAATAAAATAATTGTTAAATTCATTCCGTAGAGCACTGCATCAGTCTATAGTGTTTTAATGAAAAGAACAAGACGTTGATGTCAAGTGGCACTTTAAATAAAGATAGACATATGTTCTTATATGTAATGATAATCTTTTTTGGCAGTTGATTTGTCTCGAGCTAGATCAACCACTTCTGCTGGTAGGCTCAGCTTGATTGCTGGTGGGCTTAATTCGACCACTTTGACAAGTGGAACTAACTTGAGAATGACCTGTTTCAGATATAAGCCACTTTAAATAAGGATGGACACATGTCCTTATATATAATAATGATCTTCGGTTGTTGATTCATCTCGGTATAGATCAACCATTTCTGTACGAAGGCTTGGCTCGACCATTTCGGTTGGTGGGCTCCGCTTGAGAATGACCTGATTTTCGAGTGTGGGCATTCAAAATTCATAAGATCTATTGATCCTTACATCATACCCATGAAAAAAACCCTTACGTCATACCCATGAAAAAAGCCTTATTTAAGTAAATGATCATATATAAGTATACAATACATACATACATACATAAATTTTTGTGCATTTAGACATTCATATTTATGTGAATGAAACTCTAAATCTTTAACATCATATCAAAAAATATCATAATATTAAAAGTGAAATACACCTTTTTTTCTTTATTCATAGGCTTATGACACAAAGGTTTTAATAGTGTAAATATCAAATTTTGGGTGCAGGATATGTAAATACACAAGAATTATGTGGGGTATGTATATAAATTTCCCATATATGAAACACATGGAGAATCACCAGTAATCATTACAAGAGCAAACACCATGACTAAAATGATGAAATCGACTCCGATCTCTAACCACAATCTCCCTGCCATAAATCTCCGACATCATCTTCATCACCAGGTGACAATCATCACACACGCGAAGGTTCTTCATGATCCTGATCGTCGCCCCCGTCTCACACCCAATCAAACCAAACGCAAGCGCCAGCTTCTCACTGTGATGATAAAGAGAACTCTCCTTCTCCTCCTCCTCCATATCGATCAAAACTTCTTCGATCCTCGGTTGGTATCCCGCCAGCTTCAAGTCATTGCTCATCTCCTCCAGCTTCGCATAAACCTCTCTTCTCCGACGGTGGAAACGATCCCCCGCAATGAACTCATGAACCTCACCCTCGATTTCGATCAGACTGCTCCCCGGCGTCTTCTCGATTTTCCTCTCGTTCATAATTCTCCTCAGCTCTGCCACTTTTTCCCACATCGCTCTACCGGCGTAGATGTTCGAGAGCAGAACGTAGCGCCCGCTGTTCTCGGGCTCCAACTCGAGCAGTATCTCCCCTACTTTCTGCCCTAAATCCGCGTTTCCGTGAATTCTGCAAGCATTGAGCAGCGATCCCCAGACCGCACTGTTCGGCTCCATCGGCATCCTCAGCTTTCGCCACCATCCCTGCTCTGCCGTAGAGATCTACCAAGCAACAGTAATGCTGAATGTTTGGCTGAATATTATGTATCTTCGCCATCGATTCGAAATGCTTCGCTCCTTCATCGACGAGTTTCGAGTGGCTGCAGGCGTTCAGGACTCCAACGAAGGTGGCTTCATCAGGTGAAATTCCGGAGAGGTTCATCAATGCAAACAGCCGGAGTGAATCCTCTCCGCGGCCATTGACGCTCAGCCCGGAGATCATCGCGCTCCATGTCCACGAGTTCTTCTCCCGCATTAAATTGAATACGTTATAGGCATTCTCCACACAGCCGCACTTGAGGTACATGTCTATGAGGGCTGTGCCAACACGAACTGTGATTTTAAAATCTTTTTTGTGCAGATAATTCTCCACCCATCGGCCTTGATCGACGGCACCAAGATGAGCGCAGATAGAGAGAATATTCACATAAATACTCTCGTTTGGCTCCATCTTCTCCCCCAACATCATATGGAAAATCTCCATTGCTTCCCTGAAACGATTGTTCTGTACCAGGCCATTAATCATCACGCTCCAAGAGATAACGCTTCGCGCAGGCATTTCGTCGAACATCTGTCGGGCATCATCAAGAAGACCGCATTTCAAATAAGCCCCAAGCATTATATTCCTGGACGCATCGTTGAATACAAAAATGCGATCAAAAACCAACCTTGCGGGTTCTATTAAACCGAAAGAAGAATAGAACCGAACCAAATAATTCTGAACGGAAACATCCGACGCCTGGGCGAGCTTCAGCGCCATCGCGTGAACCATTTTGCCGAAGGGAAGATCACCGGCGTCGGAGGCGGCCTTGAGGGCGAGAGCGAGTGTGGTGGAGTCGGGGTGTTGGAGGCGGGAGGACTCTAGGGTTTCTGCGAAGAAGGAGAGAGCGGGAACGGGATTCGCAAGGGAAGAGTAAGCGCGGAGGAGGATATTGGCCATGGAGGCGTTGGGATTGTGATTTGTGAGGAAGAAGCGGCGGGCATAGGGGAGGGAACCGGCGGGAGAGAGGGCGGGGAAGGAGAGAATGCGGGAGGCGGCGAGGTTGTCGGAGGAAGAACCGGTGGTGATGGAGAGGGCGTGGATCTGGTGGAAGAGGGGCATGGAGTTGCAGGAGAGGAGGTGGTGGAGTGCGGGATGGCGGGAGACGAGCTCATATGGGGGCTCCCATGGCTGGGTAGTGAAAACGGCCTCAGGAGTACTGATGCATCAGTACTCCATTGAGGGGGTGCCACGTAGGCAATGGTTCCACCGTGGCGCCTACGTGGCACCCCCTCATTGGAGTACTGATGTATCAGTACTCCTGAGGCCACGTAGGCAATGGTTACTCTACGTGGCACCAAACGTAGAGTAAGTTCGGGGATTGCAATACTCTTTGTAATTCTTTTTTTGTTTTTTTTTTTTTTTTTTTTTTTTGTTATAGTAATATTCTGATGTCTACCACTACTATTTGTGAAAAATTAAGTGTTATTAGAATATTTTCTCACCTTAATTGATTTGGAGCTGTGTTATTCTAATAACATAATGAAAATTGAAATAACACATGAAATATGTTGAATAACACAACCTCAAATCAAGTAATGCGGAAGAATATTCTAATAACACCGCAAAATAATCGAATAACACTACATAATACTCGAATAACACATCATTTTTTTATAAATAAGTTTAATGAAATATTTTTGTAACACAACAGGATATATGTTCGGATTCCACTTATGACGCTATTTGGAAATGCTGATTGCACTATGATTTGTGAATTATATGAATGATTGAGAAATTAGATATATTGTGTGAGAGATTATCTAACCATTGAAGACTGATTCTTATAAGTTTCTTTTGGCCTTAATTACTTTGAATTAGATGCACTTTTGTCGCATGGCTTTTCCTCTTCTACCTTGTCTTACTCTTCTCTTCCTACGCTCTCCCCTGCTGTTCTCATTTTCTGGTAATATTCTTTTATTTTTTATTTTTTGGCCAACTTTTGTTAATATAATTTCATTTGTAATTTTTTCCTTCATTTTTTTTCTAATATTATTTGTAGCCGTATTTTTTAATATTATTTGCGTTGTTGAAATGATGTCTGTAATAATCTTACATTATTTGCATGACTGCAAACATTATGGGTCTGTTTGGAGCAGTTTATTTGGTGCAGTGGCGTTTTGAAAATGCACATGGTCTGTTTGGGTAAATGCATTTTGGCAGCTTATGCGTTTTCAAAACACTGAAAACCACATTTTCACGTTGCACGGTGCAGTGACAGCTTTTTGGCAGCAGTTTGATTTTTCCAAAAAAATAAAAATTTATAATAACCACTGCATCTAGCTTATCAATATATTATTTTTAATCAGCTTATCAGCAGATTATTGAATAAACTGCAGCTGCCACAAACAGACTTATGTCTAATTATCGTGCATAATTTTATTTGCACTATGTCTAATATCATGCATAATTTTATTAAATACTTTGCTTAATTTAAATAATTTGTGCTATGCTGAATTATTGTCCGCATTTTTCTTGAATATTGAAATGTTGCCAGTAATTTTCTTAAATTATTTGCTATGTAATGCCCTAATTATTTTAAATTAATTGCCCTTTATCAAGATGTAGCTCGTAATTTCAAGTCAAAAATTATAATTTTAAATATTTGAAATAAATTAAATTATGTTAAAAATGTTACTTAATTTATATTTTGTGAAATTAATTATTTTAATTATCAATAATTTAAATAAATAATTTTAATAATTTAAACATAGTATTGATTTGTATATCTGAAAAAACTTCGAAATAAATTATTTTAATTACTTATCTTTGGAACATTAAATGAGTCTTAATAAATTT